AGTTTACTTAAAAAGAAATCGATGCTGACTAACCGGGGTATGTTTTGACAGTTAAGAGGCGTATGAAGCTGATCCACCCCCTCATTGTCTAACAGTGCGCAGATCATCAATCGTGAAGTTATAATTCACCTTAGTAAACGACATATACAAACCAGTGGTACTTAGAGAGACGTCGTATATGATTTTATCAATAAACAATGGCTGATACGTGACCTGTCAAAAACTTTATCATCACACTGTATGATGCTCTATAATATTGAATAAATTCATCAACTACTACTCAGTCCTTAAGTTTCAAATCAAAACATTCACAAGGTATTTAAAAAAAATATTTTTTGGCACGAAGTAATTAATTAACTTTCACTCTAACCTCACCCCACCCCGTCTTTGATGTAGTGTGTGATTTTGCTTGTCTCTTGTTTCTATGATTTCAGTTGAACTCAGTGCATTGTTAGTTACTCATCATCTTACGCAGCTCTCGTCTTTATTACGCTACTCCTTTATCATTTCAGGCCCCAGTGGCTGAATGGTATACGAGCTAGCTTGCCTTGTAACCAGAAGGTCCTCGGGTTGGAACCCCAGTGGGTGCGTACTGTTGTAGTGTACACTGAACTTTTGTTTCAACGCACTCACCCACTTTTGGCACTTCTTCATCTTTTGATTTGTGACTCTTCTGTACATACTAGGTTCGCTCTCTCCTCTTGTTGTACTTTCATTCAGCGCACTCTTCGAGCCTACCAGCAGTCAAGGCATCAGATAAGTTGTATCACGCCTTTATTTATTTGTTAAATTTGATATTTCATTTGTGTAAAAAATAATACAACTCCGTCCCAGACACACTTCTCGTCTCAAGTCTTTTTACTTTGATTTCGTTCGTCAGTACTTACACGTTAGATAAAGTGTACTGCTAAGGTTATAACGCGGTGAAGTTTTTAGTAAGTGTGGTTATTTTTGAGGTCTACCTTAAGTCTAGTCTAACACCTACACTGTCGATGATTCCTAAAACTAGGATGAAACAGCAGCTGTCCACTATTCCCTGTGGCTGGTTTTCAATAGTTCTCTAACTGATATTAATCCGTGATCAACTCGTAAAAACAAAATTAACCCTAACAAACCAAGCTATAGAAAATACATATACTTGAACTCCTTGTGTAAAAAGTATGTAAGCGCAATTTTCTGAGCACTGTTCACTAAGACCAGGACCTCCTGTCAACTGGCATCAAGTAAAATTTGCAAGTATGTTAAAAACATTTCTGTACACAAACTTGACAATAATTTATTTAGGCTCTAAGCAACAGCTGATGAGAAGCCAACGAACGAAATAAACCATGATGGTACCATACTATTCAGTAAAACTGTTCTTGCTTTATTCAGATTCACAAAGAGGAATAAATGCACGAAGAAAAACCAAAGCTTCAGTCCACTTCTAGCTGACAGCTTCACGGTGAGTCTCGAAAACAACATCCTCGATCCTTTGATAAGTCAACTGCACTTATACAGGAAATAAGCGTAGATGATATGTTCACAATTTGTGATGAAAACGTTGATTTAGAGTACCTCCTCAAAACCTTCAACGCAGAACACCCATCAATAAAATTCAACATAGAACGCGAATCAAATATGACATCTCAATTCCTGGGTGTACTACTTACCAGAAGACAAGACTGTACCATCCAGAGATCAATATAAATCGGAGACCAACATGTATGGGACAGTTTATCAACTTCCAGAGCTTCGTCCCACTGGTCCGAAAGCAAAACCTAGTAGGGGAACTGTGTTCAAGGATTGGAAAACTGTGTTCGGAAGACACAATAGAGAATGAGTTGAATTCATTACATCAAACCCTACTAGAGAACGGGTATCTACCACGATTCATCGACAAAAATAAGGTAGAATAGCTTCCGTCAGTAAAATTCACAACTGTTCCTAAGAAAACTCTCCTCATGAAACTGGAATTCAAAGGTGACATCTAAGCAGAAATTCTCAGAAACCGCCTTTCTAAATGTCCGCAGAAGACATTTCAAACAGCCACCTTACGTATTACATTGTCCAGCAGACAATTTATCCAGTCCAACGTTAAGGATAAGATAACACCGCTTTTGGCCACCTCACTGGTGTGTGTTTATCAGTTTAATTGTTCGTGTGGAGCAAAGCATTTATCAGCCGTACACAACGTCAAGTTCACAAACATATTCTGGAACACTGTCCAGCTTGGCAGCAACTTCATCATCGAACACCTTGTCAACTCTGAACATCGAGCACATGCATTTGCACGACTGCTTCACAGTGCTACACAGAGTTCCTCAATAGCGTCCGAAAGGATTTACTCCAAATACTCCATCTGTACACAACTGAATCATTGGCTCTTCAGGATCTAAAACCGGACCTCTGAATTCAAATTCAAAAGCACCACATACATTCACTCGTCACCCTATCGTGGCAACAGTAACCTCCTCACTATAACTTAGCTTCCTTTTATTATGTAAGTTTACTGTTATTACCATTATTATTGTTCTCATCGTCCTTATTTCATTATCACTCTACTACTGTTTATTGGTAACATTGCGTTTTCCTACAGATTTTAAATATAAAAACACTTTATCGTCTCTCCAATGGTTCTCGGCCACTCTACACAATTACATCGAACAGTCATTTTCTCACACTTAATATATCATGCTAACTCCTGCCTCTCCCCTTTTCTAATCTCCAATTATTCACCCCTTTCCGACTACACCTTGCATTAGGTAATATGTTTTCGAGGACAAATTTTACCAGTAACTGATTGGTCGTCTTATGAATTCTTTGTAATATGTGTAATATAATTACGATTATTTTACAGCAGCTTATGAATGAATATGAATCGTTGAAAAGATTTTCTAGGCTGTTCACGTCATTTTCTTATGACTCAACATGGGAATATTTCTATCAGGACTTTTCCTATCTCTACAAATATCTCCACCATTTAATTCTGTCACAACCAGCGTCAAATATATTACTACAACAGCTAATCAACCAACCAAAAGCTGAAAGCAAATCGTGAAACTAATCATAACTGAGGCGCACACTATCCCTGTTCAAAAACGTGTCAACGTGCATCATCAAAATCCAAAAAGAAATATGGTAGACAGCGCTCTCACAGTCCACCGACAGTGCCACCAATCAGCTGTAGTCAACCTCGCTGCCACATAATCTCAAGTGGACTCCATGTTGAAGTGTATAAGCGCTGAAGTTTATTGTCCAGGGCAGAGACAATGAAAGCTTAGCGTCACGATTCAAACACCCAGATCAGAGAGTAAGTACAACCAGCCCGATCACATCAAAAAAACAAAACAACATCAGTACTATCTCTGTGTAGGGCTAACATCCATGTCTTAACACTATTTAGAAGTGAAAGCAGAAGGCAACATATTAGCGCCATTCTCTATTGTTCACTACTATGTATGTATGTATGTACATTTTGACATGTGCGCGCGCGCACACAGTAGAATTATTATTATTATTACTGCCATAAATAATCTCATGCTGTGCCTGCCTATACCTTTGATTCATTTGTGCCTAAACTATAAAGAAAGCATACTATTGATTATTTGTTGTCTACACGCACACACGCACAAATGTTTTGCTTTGCAAGGAATATTAAGAAGTCGTGTGCCACAACAACACATACACACTCCACGAGCACATGACTAAGTATTTTCACAGGAATCAATCTTTCACACAATTGAGATATATAATAGTAACCAATTCACATGTTGAATTGTGCTCTATAAATAATGTGTCTCACAAGTGGCTACAATTTTAACAACTAACTAGTGTAAAAGGTGACGAATAAAAATAAAACGATTTGTGGAGATCTTCGATTCATTACAATGACTGACTGACTGACTGGTTTCAACATAGAACGCATAGTACAGATGTGCACCAGTTCCAGTTGCTACACTCCCCACTCCATGTACCACACAAAGCAAGAGAAGAGAGTAAACCGTGACGCAAAAGAGACGGAGGGAGATTATAAACAGAAATATGAAGCAGATGCGACTTCCCAAATAAGTAAAGTGGCCAACCACTTCACTCCCCATCTTTCACAGCTAGGAGTCAGTGTATTCCAGCCCTGTAGCAACATTTTACAAATCACACGAGACAATCATATGCCAAACATTCAAAGAAGGCTGCTCCTCGAGGTATTCAGAAGACTCTCAACTTTGTCGGCGTCTTCACCTAGAACCACGATATCATCCGAATATATTCAAAGTCAAAAACACTACTTATTCTCTCGTAACAAGTCCATTTCTGAGTTGCTGAAGTCAGTTAGGGTTAAGTTCATTAGCACATACATCTACGATGAAATTTTTAAAAAAAATGGGGACAGTCTGTATCCCTGACAGACACCATTGGTTGTCACAATTACAATGGTTAAATATTCATCATAGAACTAACATCTCAGTTAGAGTCATCTCATTGAAAACCAGTAAGGAGCACTGAAGTAAAATCGTCACCAACCAGTTCAATAATGGCTACTATTACTAGGGCGTCGACTGGATGGATTTCCTGAAGCTGTCTCTACTGAGAAGTGGGGTGACCAGCTGGGTCCACAAAATCACAAGGGGAGGCATTGTTTGAAGGAAGTGCTTGATCCCAACCTGAAAGGGTGGGCGATGGTGAAGAGTCTCAGAATAAGACAAAGCACCCGTCCACTGCTCTCTGTCTCTCTTTAACTGATGTTGGTTGGTTGAGAAAATCCAGCTATTGTAAATAAGAAATGAGGACACCAATAATAGTCAGTTGCAGAAATTGTTGAATACAGCTCAGACAAAAAAGATGTGTGTCAACCATACTTAACTCAGAATCGAAAAGCTTCTAGGATGATAAGATTGAGAGAAAAATATTCAGACTAACTCTCTTCAGTGACTAGGACTGACACTTTGTCAATAATTTATAATTAGAAATATGACCAAATGTAGTGAGTATAAAAGAAATAATTATATATCAAGACAACTTACAGCAAATACTGAAGTTAGAAAACCCAGTATCAATCCAGCTAAAACATCCGTCGCATGATGATAGTGATCAGTTACACGAGTAGTGCACACATATATCAAACTAGCGATTAGTGCATACTGAATGAATGGTCGAAACAAAGGCAATGGAGGCAACTGCAGGCGAGCTTGGAGATATATCTGTCAGAAGGAGAAAACAACACAGAGAAGACAGTTTAGTCGTGGTGGTGGCGGTGCTGCAGCTGCTGCAAAAAACTACAAGTTTCTCAATGTCACGTTTAAGAGTGGAAGTCGTTCAGAACTTTTACACACACATCTATAAAGCGTTAAAGCAATGCCAACAGGGTTACTGCACTCAGTGACAGTGACTCATCCTGGGATGTTCTTACTCAATACTGTGCTTCCTTTGATGCTGCAGCCTCGTGTGCCACTTGCCAACTTACACCATCTATGGCTTAGCAGACGTGATATCCGGTTGGCTATCGATCAAACGAAGTGCGTGTAACTTTGCTCTCTCCTCCTTTATGGTTAGCTGGCTATGAGGTATGGCCATTGGAAGTGGAAGGCATGAAAAGGCTGCATGTCTTTGACCACATATGCCACTCTCTCTCCTATGTCCGATGGTATAACATGGTGAATAATAATTCAGGTAAGGAGGCAAAGTTAATCGATGATGAGGTTCCGAAGCAGTTACTTCGATTTTGATGGCTAGGACGTGTGTCACACACAGACACCCCACACTATCATATGAGATTGAGATCAGATAATTCGTCTAATTAATTATTACCTTCTCAAATTGGACTTTCGTGTTCAGCTCATTCACTTTTGACGTGGCATCGCAAAATTTAGGTCCAAGTGTTAAGATTTGCATTTGAATCGGTGATAGTGAGACATCAGAATAATCAAACACGTATTTCTCTGGGGAAGTAAGAGAAACCGTTTCTTTGGTAACAGACTTTAGACTTTGGTTTAGTTTTATTATGACTTCCTCAAAATGAGAATTATCTTCGATGCAACCGTCCTTTTAACAACTACTATCATCCAATGTGTGTATTCCATGATTTGACCTTATCACGTCGTTTCTATTCTATCTTCCTGATCATTACACTTTCAAATTTTATTAATTTGACCTTTGGCAGGAAATAATCCTGGAAATTTCTCACACATTCACTACAAAATACAAAAATGTTCGCTGAGAAGTATATTTGTTTCGCTGTAACCCCATTTTTAATAATTCCGTAATCGCGTATTTTCAAAATTTTTCCAACCTATCCTCAAAAATTGAGGAAAAAACATCACTGTGATTGGCAGCGTGCATTCAAATGTACAGAAATTAATCGTATCACTGTCCTTCAAGTTGTCAGTAGTACTAGCTGCAGGTCTCTGCCTAACAAAGCCGACTACCTCCAATCTCTAATATCCTCAAAATGTGTATCGAAATGCTGGTGTTTCAACCATACAAGAGACTTGGCTCCACCAGAAAAAATGACGACAATCTAATTTCACTAAATGGACATAAAATTCCCAATCACAACAGACACAGTTCAAAGAAAAAGCATAACGGGGGATAGCCGCTTTTATTAATACAAAGTGGTCTACATGTAGTCATGTATGTTTTAATTTTTCCAGTGACAATACACACTGTATCACTGTTAGGTGTCGTCCACAGCATTTAAGAAAATATTCCTTGAGATCGCAGCCTTCCTATATCACTTGGTCACAAGAACCTTGTCAAATTCAATGCTTGTCTGCACAAAACACCCTAGACTTGCTTTTCATAGACGATCGTGACATATATGAGGCGTGAAGGAGAGCTCCACTGCTGAATTCTGACCACTGCATTATTCGTATTCTACGGAGAGTGTATGGCGAGTTACACGGAAGTGCTATAAAAGGACACAGAACAAGTTGGATTCAGGAAAGCCAAATCATCTGCGGATCAAATTGCAACTCTACAAATCATCATCGAACACAGCATACAATGGCAATCGAATCTTTCTCTACCTCGACTTCATCGACTTCGGAAAGTCCTTCAACATCGTTGACATAGAAGTTATTTGCAAACTACTTCAACACTATGAAGTGTCCAGTGCCGCAAATCGTTATCAACCTCATTCAACAGCTAGCTCTATGTGATAGTGCCACATATCATAGTCATTTATAATCCACAAAGGAAAACTCAGAGGAACCTTTGAAGTGAAGACAGAAGTAATACAAGGCTGACTACTATCACCAACAATGATATCCCTAATTGTCGTCGACTGGATTATACCGAACACCGTGAGTGGAGGACAGCTAGAAAACAGGAATACGCTGCACTGACTGATAAGAAGACTCTAGAAGATCTGGAGACATCACGGATGATTTATATCTAGTGTCACATAAATTCGAAGACTTACAGACGCAAACCAACAAACTGGCAGAAGAGGCTGACAGCGAAGACAGGACTCCATCCAGGTGAACATTGAGAAGACGGAGGTGATGAAAATGACCAGCTAACAACAACAACAACCAACCACTACCAGCGGGTGAAATTGGAAAGCGATCACTTGACTTATCTAGGAGGCAGTTTCGTTTCAACTACAGCCAGTATACGGCACACATGAGCATGTCAAAACCAGCCAGACCAGAATCCGAAAGACACGATAGACAGACCTTCACCATTTTGAAATCAGTCTGCAAATCTTCTGCACTCAGCCTCAGCATAGACAACAACATTCAGATTATCAACACCCATGTGGTTAAATCAGTTAGTGCTTCTGTATGGGTCGGAAACTTGCACTGCGTGTGCATCACGAAAGGAATTTCCAACAGGCTACATGACAGACTTTCATCAACAGCTGCCTCCTTCGCTGGCTGGTTCCATACTGAAGATCAGCTGAGCAACAAGAAACTCTGGAAACGAACCAATCGACAACCTGCTGTTCAAAAAGTAACCTAAAGAAAGTGGAAATGGATTCCACACACACACACACACACACTGAGAACACCGTTAGGTGACATCGCGTGCAATGCAGGCCATCACTGGAGTGAAATCCAAATGGAGAACGAGGAGTTGGGCGTGTCCGAGGGTGACATGGAGAAGATCACGTGAGTAGAAGATCAGAACCTGTGGACAATCGTTGAGCCAACAAAAAGCGGAGTGCTGAGAACAGGACTAAAAATGCAAATGTTGTGTTGAGGCCTCACACGTTCCACTGGAAACCTAGCAGTTGACGTCAACAGCACAATAAATTAACATTAATAGGAGAACACAAAGGCACATTAATTTAAAATATAACTTCAAAAATTATGTCAACACATACCACAGAGAAAAATATACCTGCAGCGGCTGTTGATGCATGACCAGATACAAATGATAAGCTAAATAAAATTTTAAAAAACTTTTATCATTATTCTTTAAACACAAAAGAACTTGGTACAGTATGGCACCAAAAATAATGATAAAACATAGATTATAAGTAAAAATATGGGTGGAGAACGGATAAAGAACATCATCAACAAGTCCAAACAGCATTCGTCAACTACTGTCGGGAAGGGAAGAAAGAGGGAAATTGCCAGGCAAATTCGCCATTGATTACGATTCTTGACCATATTCGTTTACGTTTCGAGCCATCGATTCAAGCTATCTCGCGGACCCCAACCAGGGAGTCGTAAAGCACCAACTGATGCTAACATAACACAAATATCTTTCGTCCCACGATGCCAAGTCATCAGCTGACCGCTACCTACCTCTCCGTATTTTCCATCCCGTCCCAGGGGCTGGTCAGCGAACAGAGACCTGTACGGAAGCCTCTGAAATGATATTCGCAGCACATATCCAAGCTACCGAAGCCGGTGTTTCCACATGACGATGACACTCAACGAATGATGATCTTCACTGTGTCCAAACACACGCCGCCGGAACTCAGAATTACTCACGCGATGATGCCATCGAACGCAAGTAATCCCTCCGGAGACAGCGATAGTCGAATACGCAGAGTCGCCTCTCCTGAGGAAGTCCTACTCACTGCCTTCACGTAGCGGAGGTGTTTTTACCAAAATGAGAGGGCGAAAGCGGATGCCCGGCGCTCTCCACCGGGTTGACTTTCCATTGGATGACAGTCTAGGGGAGATGGCTAAACCCTGATTCCAAACCTCCAACGACTGGCGTATGAAGCTCACTGGAGCTCACCGGCAGACGTATGGAAAAAGGGCTTGTTGGGTGTCCTGGATGTCTGGCCCCATTCAAAAAGGTGTATGAACCGAACTCCGGTCACCGGCTGCCAATGGATAGTGGACTCCCTACTCCACTCCTACTACCTTGTAGGTCACACTTGGTTGTGTAAAGGCTAGAGCTGCACTCTCAAACAAAAGGCCGAGCGATTCTGGGGACATCACTCGTACCAAATTCCCATGAAACTTAATGAACTCTCTTACAAACGACTAGCCCTGTCGCAAAACCTTGCATCAGATCGCCGCTCCTGGGCAGCGATGATTCGAGATGTTCATGAAGCCGGCTCATCCTCCCGTAGGAGATAACCGAAGTAAAGTAAAAGTAAGAGTCGCCATACATCCTCAGCTCACTTGGACAGGCCAGGTTTCATAGGTGTAGAGCAAGACAGCCCGCACCAAAGCATTGCGAACCCGACCTTTGACAGTCAGGCAAACGTCACGACGGCGCTAGAGGTGCCTAAAGTTAACGTATGCCGCCCTAACTTTCATAATACGGTTGGAAATTTCATCCGTCACCTCTCCGCTACACAACTACCCAGATACACAAACTTATCAAAAACTTCAAAGCGGTTCACCTGCAAGAGTGAGTGCAGGTACAGGCTCCTGTCAATATTGTAACGCTACTAATTTGCACTTAGACGGCGCAAAGCACATATCATACTTACAGACACTGATCGCCAAATGATTAAGTGCGATTTGGGCAGCCTGCATGCTATCGCACAATAAGATGTCATCTGCGTAATTGGGGTCGAAAAGTCTCTCTACAGGGAAATCTACACCACCTTTAGAGTTGACTCAAGCATGTCATCGATGGCAAAGTTAAAGAGAAATGGAGAGATCGGGCAACCCTGTCTAACTTCATTGATAGTTTGGAACAGTGATAATAGTCCCCTCTACCTGAGGTGTTTCTGTATAGAGCTTTTAGGATGTTGACAAACTTCTCAGGTACACCCCTTTCTAACAGACAGTCGCAGAGCACACTTCTTGCCAACGAATCGAAGGCAGCCTTAATATCAAGAAACACAACGATTGTTGGCCTGCAATACGTCTGGCGGTGTTCCAACAACTGACGAAGGGTGAACACATGATCAATGCATCCACGACCTGAACCAAACCCAACCTGCTCTTCGCGAATCAATCCCTCACGTGTTTTACACAGCCTGCGAAGCAAGACAGCAGCCAATATTTTGGATGCAACTGGCAGTAGGCTGATACCCCTATGATTGTCACATGAATTACGCCAATCCTTTTTAAAGGTGGGGATGAGATAGAATAGAGCTTTGAATAGATTTTCTTTGTCCTTTACTTAATCACGCAGGGTGACGTCCGGAAATCCGACGAGAAACACGTCTAATTGGACGGCCTAAGCAACTAACTGGCTCACTCCACGGGAGCAGTCAAACTGATAGATACACATAGAAGAGGCGAAATTAGACAGTTTATCTTTAACTCGTGAACACAAAACAGGGGTGGTTTTGAAGACACCGCGTAATTCAGCAGCACTGAATCCTGTTTTTACCGCATTTCTGACGCGTTTTGTTAATATCTCGCTGATATTATCCTCGAGGAACTAAAGTTGTAAGAGCATCGCCTTCCTTTTTCGTAACTGTCAGTTAGTGCTTTGGCCTGCCTGCCTGCCTTGACTTTAGATTCATATTCTTATCGATGAATTTTCCTGGGTAACCGTTCTCATTCAGTAACTGTATAATAACATTAATCTCCTCTTAAGGCATTCATCGTGCGTCGGTGGAACAGTGGTTGGGATGCTCGCCGACCATGCACATGGTCCGGCCGACTCACTCCTTTACCTCGCTGGGCCAGAAATAAAAGCTGGTAAAGGGGAAAGATTGGACATGAGGCTAGCAACGTCATCCTGTAAAAATAAACACTGCTAAAGAAACTTCAAGCCTCTAGCTTGAAGCCCTATGTTCCACTGGGAACGTGAAGGAATAAAAAAAGGCATTCATCAGAGAAGATTGCTCTCGTTCTCTGGACCAAGTGCTTTGTTAGATTGTGTTTATATTTCAAAGGCACGGAGCTGAAAAAGTTAGTATATTGACCAGTTGATGGAGGTTTTCTATATACATTTCTTCCTATTGTACCATCCTCTTTCCTAGTCATAAGGACGTCTAGGAATGATTTACTGAAGTTATTTTTTCCTTTGTTGATGGTAAAATTTATTGCAGGCTGAACAGCGTTAAATTTGTCCAGAATGTTCTTTGCTTCATCATCATTTTTAGTAATCAAATAATGTATTATCCATGTAACGACAGCAGAATTTGAGTTCATGAATAACATCCTTCAAAGGCCCATTTCCTAGTTTCGCAAGGAAAATGTCGGCTAAAAATGGTCCTAGTGATGTTTCCATAAGTAGTACATTGGTGAACAAGGAGGATACGTCAAATGATATTATGAATTGCCAACATTTAAATCTTTTATCTTTTCAATACATTCAAACGCATCTTTTACGCTGTATTTCACCAATTCAGTATGTAGTGGCTATAAGAGTTCGACTAACCATTTGGCCAGGAGATGGTATGATGAATTTAACATATCTAATACAAGTTATGGGGAAAATATGATCAGTTATAGAGATATTATCTATAAAAATAAAACTACTTACAAAACATCATGAATTAAATCTTGTCTAGTGCCTTGACATGTGTACACCGTTTGCAGGCCTGTACAATTAATCGGAATATTTGGCTGGCACACATCCCAAAAATGCGGTCTCAATCGACCCAGATTATACTTTGTAAGTGTTGTCAAGAAGAAACAAACTCCTTGTGACATAAGAGAAGCCATACAGAAGTCATAAATAAATGGCAGCGACTAAAAAAAATAGGATAATCCAATGTTAGTAAAATTGGTAAGGACAAATTGATACAACTTACACTTTTCATTGAATAACTCCTTTCAGTTATCTTTCTAAATATTGCTGTGCCTATTTCCACTAGGATAATCTTTAGAAATCGAATGAAAATGAAAGATTTTACATCAACTAATTAACTAACTTACTATCACGATTGGCGTTAAATAACCATATAAGGCTACTGCTAGAGAGGATACAGTATTACCTTTATACGGATATTTAATGCTCCAATCATCACAAAAGAAACTCCACTTATGACTGCCGAAAACTTTAATCAGGAAGTAGACTGCGTGAACTGATATTTAAAATACACTGATGAAGGTATATCTAACAACTTACGCAGACTGACAGTCAGTAAATCAGAAGTAGCGCGAAGAAGTAAAGGAACATTCAGCTTTGATCTGCTACACAATGGAGCACAAGCCATTGACAAAATACTGCGAGTTTCAAGTGATCAATCTCGTTTTTTTTATCTACAAGAACAGAATTATGTATGAGTTGATGCAATTGTAATTTTAAAATGCTTCTGCAATAGAAATTATAATATAATACACCTTCCCTAATGAACACTGTTCACTCCATTAGTGAAAGCAACAAAACACCTTTTTTTCAAAATATAACTAGTTTCAGTGCAATATTATTAAGCAGAAAGTGGCTTAGTACTCTATAAGCTCTCATCGATTTTTCCTAAATTTTTAGTGCAAACAATAAAAGCAGTAACAAAATATCAAGCTTGCTTCTAATCTAGCGAATAACTTTGAAGGAGAAAAGATTATCTTGGAAGGTGTATCCGTCTAAGCTGTTACTCTTCACAAAGCTTTAGAAGAAGAAAATAAACAAAAATAACCTAATGCTCTTGAGGTATATACAAGGACACAGTAGAAGGAGTAATTACATGAAATGAAAACGGTCAACACTTAACAAAGCTAGAATACATTTAAGGTAATCGAATCAGCTGTCTAGTTTGCTGAAGAAAGCAAATCGTCCTGATTTAGTCACCTTATTAGTTACTCCACTATTCACACAGTAATCGTACACCTAAATTTCCCGGAACTCGCTAAGCAAATGCATAATAGGCTGTATAATTTGAACAACCTGTTAGTTTGACTGATTATCAAAGATCCTTGACATGGGTAGCAGCCCTACAGACAGCCGTTTAGAATTAAAGGAGGGGGAGGAAAATTAGTAGGTTTGTTGACGAAACGTATATATAAACGTACACTGCCTAGTTTACATAGAAAAATTACGACTTCAGCCTAACCTAACTGCACTACGTCAGGGTTGTATGCCTATTCACACAGCTAGGACTAACTTGAAAACTAGAAAATCACATCAGGAGCAAACTATGAGTGAAAAACCTGCAGCTTTTATTATTAACGTCCGTTAATAACATGATCATTGGTCACCAGGTTATTCTGAAGGCTCCTGGTGTTGACCCCTATTCCACAAACTTGTTCGCTTTAACTAAGTGATAGGAAATTCTGTTATAAACACCACAAAAATTATCTGATAGCCCTACAAGGAAAAAACCAAAGCACCTACCGGAATCTAAACACCTCTAGGTCAAATGTCGTGCACAGCGCCAAATCTTCGGAAACTACTGGAATGGTAGCCCATTGGTTAATCCAAAGATCGCTGTCTCTTTCAGAAGAATGTTTGCTATTTACTCTATATTGAATTGAAAATGACTGAAAGGGAGAATGAATCTAAATGTACACTTATGTATACTTACTGTTTCAATGACTTAACTACTGGTTCGCACTCAATATCCAATATCGTTTTTACGAGCTAGTATAAACCAATTTGATTTCTTTGCGCTCGCCTCTTGATTGTGAGGTAGACGTTCCTGATCTTCGGTAAACGTCTGCGTAGCTCGTCCCGCCACTCGACTGTCGTAGCTTTGGTTGACTCCCAAAGGAGTAGTGCAGGAATTAATTGAATGTGGTTTGTAGAATGAGGTGTGTTAAGACTGTTACTACTGTGAATGGAGTTGATCCTTTCACCAGTTGGTCCTTCGGTGTCGTCGTCAATAGAAAAGAGATAATAATAATAGATATAATTAGAGAAGGTATTCAGACTAACAGACAGAAAAAGAATAAGAAAACGTAACAACAGTCAGTCAACCGGTATATATATTTACCAGTAATAATGATAATAATAATAGTAGGTGTAGTTAAAGCTATCAGGAGAGTAAAACGGAGGAGAATGTAAAGAAGTAAAACGACCAGTTTAATTGTTTACCTTTGAATGGTGTTTGCGATTTTAAGGGGATAGGCTATTTGGATGCAGTCCTTGTGTCGCTGCATGGTTGTCCAGCCTTCGCTCAAAGGCGTTCACAGACGGTGCCATAGCTACATCTGCCGTTAAGGAATTCCAGGGACGGCGAACCCGCAGGTAAGAAGTGGGAGCGCACCCAGGAACTTGCCCTCTGATGAGCTATCCTTCTAGGATTCCCACGAGGGAGCCCATACATACTAAATGGCAGAACACCTTTGTTTGGGTGATTCTGATCATTTTTTATTTTGTAGGCAGTAATTAATTTCCCCCCTCAGACGACGGTAACTGAGTGTGAATATGCCTAATTTCGTCAGCCTTCGTTCATTTGGTTTATTTCGGAGACCAACCACTCCTTTTGTTGCCCGTCGTTGGACTCTTTCCAAGAGGTTGACGTCTCTTCTAAGCAGTGAGGGTGCAATAATATTATGCACTTCAAGATGCGGTCTGACGTATGTTTTATACAACCTTAGAAAGAGCTCAGGAGTGAATGCACCTAACTGTCTATGTGTAAAGTGTATGACCGCATATGCCCTCGCTACATCCCCCGTGTAATTTACGCTTGTGTCCATTTTCTCCGTTAGAACTAGACCTAAGTCACGTTCCGACGTTGAGCAGGACAAGCTTTCATTGCACAGGGTGTAAATTGCATTCTGCAGTCTACAGGTGCGTGACTTCACTACTTTTCACTTTCTCAGGTTGAAAGTCATGCCACTGGCTACCGCCCAGTCTTCCAGAAGCCTTAGATCTGCCTGCAGTCTATCTGAGTCCTCTAGACACTTTATCGTCCTCCATATCTTCATGTCGTCAGCGTATAGAAGAGTCGGGCAGCTTAGACGGTATGGTAGACCATTGATAAAAATCAAGAACATCAGTGGTCCCAGGATAGAACCCTGCGACACTCCTGGTGACGAGCTGTGCCAAGATGATCGGACTCGATTGACCTTGGTGCAAAATTGCCTTTCAGTTAGGTAGTCCTTCAACCATGACAGAAGTGGTTTACCTATACCTACCTGGCTTATTTTGTGTAGGAGAAGGTCATGGTGAAGAGTGTCAAATGCCTTCTCAAAGTCTAGAAACATCACATGGACTGGAACATTCATATCCCAACATGATGTCCAGTGGTCCCAAGCTGATAATAAGTTAGTGACGCAGGATCTCCCTTTCCTGAAACCGTGTTAGGCTTCATGGAGTATTTTAGACCTATCTAGATATTCCCTGATGTGATCGTCAATAATACTTTCCAGTACTTTCGATACCACTGGGAGTAGAGCTGCTGGTCTATAACTGCTGGGATTTTGCCTATCCCCACCCTTGAAGATTGGAGAAAGGATGCTTCTTTTCCATTCCTTTGGCAGTTTCCCCGAATCCATTGAGTGTTGGAACAGGTCGCATAAGGGCCTACAGAGAGCTTCGGCGCACTGTTTCAGAACAGATGGCCTGATGTCGTCACAACCTGGGGACTTCCCAGGTGTGAGTCGCTGCAGCTTTCTTAGTACTATTGCAGGGTTTATTTGGGGGTGGCTATTTGGTCTTCCTCCTGTGAAATAGTGGTGCCAACATTTCGGTCCGTAACAGTAATACCCACATTGCTATTTAGCTGTTTGACGAAGGCTAAAGTGAATGTTTCAGACATCTCCAGACTAGTGGGATATTGACCGTTTTAGCCTACTAAGGCGCATGTCCCCTGGTTAGTTGGTTTTCTTTCCGACATGAATCGGTACAAGTTCTAGGGGTTTGCAGGGAGTTTTTTAGCAAGGTTAGCCTGGAATGACCTCCTGTCCCTCCTGACTCATGCATTGCACCGGTTTCTGAGTTCCAGGCACGCATCATGGTCGATCTGGCTCTTAGGTACGCGCCACGTAAACCGAGCCTTCTGCTTTGCTTGCAGAATACGCTGCGTGCCTCTCTTTAACCATGATGACTTTCTTTTGGGCTGTGTTGTGACTAAAGGGACGGTATCCGAGATTACTGTATGAATAATCTTTTTTTACCCCTTCCCAGTGTTCATCCACAGATAGCTCATCCCATGCTAAGGGCCAGTCTGCGTCGGGCAAAAGCCTCCGCATTTCAACATAGTCAGCCTTGCTGTAACACAGACATGGTTGCGTAGCGTCCCACTGCAAGTGCTCACGGAGAACGAGGTCGAAACCTATGACTGCATGGTTATTACTTCCTAGAGGAGTCATGACCTGGATCTTTTCGACGAGTAGTTGGTCACTAGTTAGAATGTAGTCTAGTTTTGATGACTTTCCACTAGGGCCCCACCTAGAGTGGTCTCCAACGTTCTCAGTCAGTCCCGTGTTTCGAATAGTTTGCAGCAGATTTCGGCCGAATTTTCCCTTAGCATACTCCCAGCCAAGGTTCAGTGATGGGGCATTGAAATCTCCAGCAATGGTGATTTGGTCATAGCCCAAGTCTCGTATCCCTGTGATATTGCTGAGCAGTAGCTGATTGTGCTCTGCCCCACAGGTGGGAGATCGGTAGATGCCACCAAGTAAATGCTTGGTGTGGCCTACGGTGAAATGACACCATATGGAGTCTGGGGGTTCAATAAGTGGTGGGTCCGTTGCGCGCACACATTTAAGTTGCCTATCAAAATATATAGCAACTCCCCCTCCTTCCTTATTTTCCGTGTCTCTCCTGACCAAAACCATATCACCTATACTGATTTCATTATCGGCGATAGTGGGGGTTAGCCATGTATCAGTGAGGATTATTATTTTAAAGTCTAGGTGTCACTGGAGGTTTCTGAGTTCAACTACTTTCCCTTTTAGCCCTCTTGCATTGCTATAAAGGCAGCTGACAGTAAGTTTCACAGCCTCAGCGTGTTTTGGGGTAGTTGACGTGAGGCTGTCTGCTGGTAGGGGACTTATTGTTGGGACTAGTTGGCCAGTTCCGATGGAACGGGCCCGTTGTGGTTTTTTCCCATGGATTTAGGCAGGACACTTGGATGACACAGACTGTTATTCTCAGAACTGCATCGCTCTAGTGTCACTGAAGCTTGGGGACGTATTAAAGCCTCAGTCTGCTGCCTCCTTGTGGTTCGAGGTCTGCTTTCGCAGCATCGGATGTGTCCTCCCAATGTCCCCTTGATCTCATACCACCGTTGAAGTGCTATGACCAACTGCTCTGGGGAGTTGAATGTGACAC